TTTGATACTGTACTGCATTTGCCTTTTAATAGCGCCCCGGACCTACAAGCCTTCATGCGTCTTCTTCATGGTCAAAGTAATCGCACCCTTCAACTCACACTCGGACGACTAAACAAATCCAATTTGCACGGAGCCCTCCTTTGGCACATTCTTAGCTCTCTTCTTAACACAAGGCGACCACCTATGCCACCGGGTCGTCGCCGTGCCATGGTATTTTATGGCGTCATGCCCTATCCTGGCCCTGCATATGATAGTTTGAGCTACGGCACGCTCGTTCACAACCAGTCTTTTAGACTCCTGCGCGACGGCATCTCGGTTCCTCGACTCGTCGTAACTTTCAAATACGATTTTCCTCTAGGCCCCTATTTTGCAACTGTATTTCCCTACTACGTGAACTCGATAGAGTCCTCACTCTGCTTCAGTCTTCTTTCATCCAGTGCTACTGCTCTAATTCCTTTGTTTATGCGCCTTTTGGCCAGATAGTTACTGACGACACACGCATTCTAGGTGATCCCTTCACAGAAGAGTATTTCAACCTTGGCTGTAACTACCGCCTACCTAGAAACATACATCCCACCGAAGTTTTACAACATTTCAACACAAGCTTCTCGGCATACACACACCTACTTACCAAAAAATATAACTTAGAACCTGGCCGAGTTCAGTTCTACCACGATGGGATTTTATTCCGTGCTCGTCGCTTGCTGCAAAGTTTCTACATCAATGCCCGGCCTATCGACTACATTACTCCTTCCACTCTCCTTAGTCGTTCTTCTTGCCAGCGTCACCGCCTAGTTATTACACCAGTAGACAAGGCACCCAATAACTGTGCATTCATTTGCAAATTACTCTGCGTAAACACCTTACGCCGGGAACTTGGCATAAAAGACAACGGTGAGGTCCTAGACAACGACACTTATATTCCAGTTCGCAGCAGTACTTGGCAGATTGTTGTTAGCCATGGTAAACTGCTACGCACAATCCAGCTCATTCTAGACGAAGAAAATAAAGTTTTCCCTATAATTTACGCTGCTCCTAAGTTTCAGAAAAACCCTTACAGCTTCCGTTTCATCGCTTCCGCCACGCATTCAAGTATCAAGCCTTTGAGTATACTTTTACATCGCATTCTTCAATTTTTCCGCCAGCATCTTCGTAAC